CCACTGCTCATCAGCAAAGGCCTCTCATTGGTCCACTGCTCATCAGCAAAGGCCTCTCATTGGTCTGGTTTCTTTTTTAAAAATTATTCTTTTCAACCACAATTCAAAAGCAACGTCTTATTTCACTAAATTATAATTTAACAAATTTTTATTTATTATTACTTTTTCCAATTTCCAGTTATTTGAGTGACTGCTGTGAGTTTTGCCTTTTCTTTAATGGGAGGAGATGAATCGATCTGAGGACGGCTGTAGCAACAATATCGAAGCTTTTTAAAGAAACATGTTTGTCACCTCCTTTTTATCAATAAAACAAACTGTTTTCCAGTTAGTTTCTCTACATTAACATACGTTGTGCAGTTCCAAATTATAATTAATAGAACAACTGTGAAGCTGTGAATACATTCGGCCAGCTGCTGACTCTTTCTCACTGCGACAGCTGCGAAGCCGCCGTGGGAGCCTTTTGCTGTCTGCCAGTAAAAATCAACGGCTTTGACATTAAGAAAGTCAATCTATGATGAACAGACTTTTGGCCATTTACACCACAAACCGTAGCCACCAACAGATTGCAAATTATGGCGCTGAAAGTCGCTCTGCTTTGCTGACACGCTACTGATCAAAACTGTGGTTGGAAATGCACTTTTGAAAGGTGCCAGTTACAGTTTCGTAGCCCTTGAGATGCTTCAGCACCATCTGCAGCATCAACATCGACGCTGATGGAGCCTGTTTTGACCATCTAAAAAGGGATTTTCCTGTTTCAGATGCAGTAACTTCTATTTCTAATGAGGTGCTACTTATGACAGGGTGAGGAGGGTCTCTGAAACACGCACAGGATACTGAAAATGCGACTGTAATTAATACATTAATAGAACTATTTAATTTCATGGTAAACTAGTGACAATATATTTAAATATAGTAATAATAATTTTACGGTCAAGCATAATCTGTACTTTCAGACGACAGGGACGATCTGTAAAAGCCCAGCAAACACTTTACAAACACGGTTAAAATATGGAAAAGAAGGAGCTACTGTAACAATAAATATCTGCAAAATATTATTTATTATTGGTGATTTTACAGGATATTATCTGTAATAGTAAAATCTGTAACATAACTAATATCTCCCCTCTCATGATTAAATAATATTTAATAACTTAATGTTCCTCGACACAAATCTTCTTTCAAATGTCTGTAAAATCTTTTTTTTTCTCTGATTTAAATATAGTAAAAATCATTTTATCGTCCAGCATAACCTGTGCTTTCAGATAACAGGGACTCCGTTGTTTTTACAGTTAGGATGTCAGTGCTGGCTCCGCTGTGAACGTGCGAGGCTTCAGTCAAGGACGGTCGGTGGTGATTCACGAGCTGCTGAGAGCTGCACCTGTCCGCCGAGCTTTCACCTGTGACCTTTTGCGCGTCAGTGTGCGTCGGCCCTTTGCCTTATTGTTTTCCTCTCTGACTCATTCTGACTTCAGACTATGAACCGGCGGAGGAGCTGCTGCATGCTGGTCTCCTCGGGTCAGATGAGACGAGCGCAGCTGTTCGTGGATCGACTTAAAGAGCGTGAATACAGTAGGGAGGGGGTCGTCCCTAAATAATTTCTCCCTCTCTGTCCCGCCGCGGGTCATTTATCCGTCAGCGCTGGAGGGCACAACTTGCTTCATCACAGCCAAACCAACAAACTGCCACTTCAGCACCGTTTTTCCTCCCCTCCCTGCCTCCCTGCCTCCAGCTCACACGTCTCTGGTCCTCTCCTGTTCTCGTCCATTTCAGATTCTGTCGAAGGGGTCAGAAAATGGTTTCTGTGCGGGACGACTGTCTGGGCAGACTCGCTGGTAGCATCCCCAGGCCCCCTGCTAGAATGTCAGGTCAGCAGTAGCAGCAGTTAGCAGCAGCACAGTGTGGCGGCAGCACAACGGCGCAAGAATGTTCGCCGGCTTTTGTTGTGTGGAATGTGTCAGCGTGGAAGCGACCCTCGCATTGTTTGCGAGCGACGAAAACACAGCTCACGACCGGCTTTGATGCGCGTGTCGGGGCGTGTGTTTGTCACGACGCGTCCTCGAGCACGACCCGGCGAAGGAGTAAAAGTTGATGGTGGTGGAGTGTGAGGAGCAGAGCATCTTCCTCCTCGGTTGTTTCACTCCCAGCATTATAACAACAGGGCGTGGCTACAGGCTGTCATCTGAGGGTCAGCTGGTTTAGCTCAATACAAAGAGCCAGAAGTGATCAAGCAGCTGTGTTCATTTCTTTTACTTTTGTGCTGTTGGAAGGACTAAAATAAGCTTTAATAAAATGTCAAGACTATAATTAGATGGTGACCTGGAGACATATCCATCCCGCTTCGTTTGTGGCTTCATCGATCATTTCAGTTCTCTGAGGGGTGATGTTATGTAGAGCTACTGGTAGACATGTGGTCATTGGGTTGTTTTTATGGCTAATTATTATTATATTATTATGCTTTTGCCTTTTCTGTTGCTTGCTGACTAGTTTTCCTTCACTCCCACGTATAACTGGAGAGAATCTCCGGCTACAGTGACAATGAATGTACTGCAGCTGCTGCTAGCCACCGCATCGCTGTGCTTTGAGCTACACGCTAATGGAAACATGCTCATAACGTTGACTCAGCTGATAAGAATGTTTTACAGCTATTTGGTCATAAATAAAGTTATTGGGCAAGTTTACATTGTGATGTCGCTGAAGGACCAGTGAGAGAAACAGCTCCATCAAACAGTGCAGGAGGGCTAAAGGACAAAGGCACTGAGGCTCCATCATCACGGGATGGACACGCAATCCATGTAGTAGTTGGCCATGTGCTTGTGTGTTTCTGTTATTGATAAAACTGTAGCTTGTGTTTAAGGAGGCAGCACTGTGTACGCGTTCGTATTTCAAGGACAAAGTTTAGTCACCGTCCTTATGCTCTAATGCCAGTCAGTCACACTGGACAGGGCTCTGCATTCTCAGCTGCTCCGTCCTTCATCTGCGCACAGACACACACACACACAGACACACACACACACACACACACACACACAGCAACACACTCAAACACCGAGACACACACATCGTTTTATTCTGCTGTCTGTCTTCATCTCGGTCTTTCTTCACATGTATTCCCAGCCCCCGTCCTCTGTCATCTCTATCACACAGATACACCCTGAGCCCTGCAGACATTCCTTTTCCCTCTTTTTTCATTTGCAATCGTCTCTCGCGTTCTCTCTCCCCCCTCGTCTCCGTCTCCATCACTGTCGCTGCCCTCGTCGTCTCTGTGTTTCACCGCTCTCACAAGCCTCATCTCTCAGCTTTAACATCAAAGCCCCCGTCGGGATCAATGCTGCATCTCTGCAGCGGTTTAAGTGTGTGAGAGTCTACTGTGCATGTGTTGACACAATATATATATTCTAAGGTGTCTGTGCATTCTAGCCTGTTTGTCTGAATGTTAGCGTGTGGTGGCGTCCTGCAGGTCTGTCAGCAGCTCTAGTCAGCACCAGGACAAAATTCAAGATCAATGGTATTAAGTTGCCAGCAAGCCTGAGGCCTGACATTCACTGATACCCTGTGTGTGTGTGTGTGTGTGTGTGTGTGTGTGTGTGTGTGTGGTGCGCTCACCTCGGCGCACTTGTTGCACCCAGAACCGTTGGACAGTTCTGCGAATGTCCTGCTTTTCCCTCTGCTCTTGCTGCCAGCGGCGCAGCTCCTGCACATCTGGCCGTGCCCTGATCTGGAACAGCACACGTGCGAAGGCAGCGCGTGCAGAAATTCACATGAGCACACATCATCAATAACTTAATTAAGCTGCGAGCTAATCAGTACTCGTGAGCCACCAGTGTTGTTTAAATTGGCCCATTCAGAGAGTCTGTCATGTGGTTTAGTTCACCTCTCACGGTGGGAAACAGTGAAAATGTCTCGTTCACTGTGGTTGGAGTCACCAAAACCTGCATCCTTCCAGTAAAGACCGTATTCATGTTAATGTTTCATATCTGATTGACAACAACAAGCAACTTACCAAACATGCCATTAAACACCAGATCAACCTTGTTGTACACAGCCAGTTCTGACTTCTAGCTAAATACTTTAGTAGTATGAAGTACATAACTGTATTTAATGGTGGAATCGGGGCACATATTTAGCTAGCTAGCATGTTTAGGTGGCTGTATGTGCCATACTTCCCATCCCGCTCAGTGGAGGAGGAAGTTAAACTCTTTTAATTTGGATTTTTCCATAAAGCAGCTTGTAGTTTTAATCTCAAATGTGCTTCATCACTAAGGTTTTATTATGATAGTAATAATAATTATTATTACACGAGGAAAGATAAGAATAGCACCTTTGATGCTACACCTCTGCATAACAAAGGCATCTCTATTAAGGGCTGTGTGAGTTGTGTAAAATGTTAGACTAATGATTTAACAGTGAGCAGTGTGGTTGTTAAATCTCAAAGGTTTGTGTTTTTCTGCAGAGAAACCATCACTGTTGGTAGTAATTAGGTGTGTTAGGAGGACGTTTGTGTGTCATGCAAGTGGGCAAATCGATGAAATTCTGCAGCAGTAATTGTCAAAAAGCTGCCTTTGAATCGTCCGTCTGTCCAGGTTGTGGCATGAATTATGTTCTTGTTCCTGGAGGAAACGCCAGCAGTAGTTGTGTGCTTGTGTGTGAGCTGCTGGGCTTCCTGATAACAACTACATAGGTTTGCTGATTGAGATGAAAATAAAATGTCCCTGAAGAGCTCCTTCTCTCTTTCCCCTCCTCCCGTTACCTCTCCCCCACTAAGCCTCCTTCTCCTCCCTTGTCTTTCCTCTGCCCTCTCTCTAGTCTCTGGGGGGTTTCATCGCTCCCCTCTCTACTCCTTCAGTTCCTTCAGACTCTCCACCAACCATCACTCTCTCCCGACTCTCCAGAACATAAGTATTTCAATCCACTCCATCATCTCTCCCCTTTGCATTCTGTTCCACCTCTCCTCTCTCCAGCCTTGTCCTCCCCTCTGCTCCGTTCGACCTCATCCTTTTCCCAAGTGCCTGGTTGTGTGGCAACAATGGTGTTGCTATTAGCGGCTATGAAAGTGGGCCTGTTATATAAGGCTGGCGGTGGGTCTAGGAATGGGTAAGACTAGTGAGCTCCAGTAGTTAATTCACTGGGTGTCACAGCGCTGCAGTCGCCCCTCTGCTGATGGGAGCAAACCATAGAAATGGAAATGAGGGGTGAGGGTCAGGAGGGGTTGGGGGGTTGGAGTCTGTTGTGTTTGCTCACCATCACCAGTGTGCTCTATTTGTGTCTGTGTGCCATTTCTACTCTGTCACTATTCATCGGTGTCCTGCATGTAAGTCTGTATTCTGTCCCCGCTGCTGACCGCGACTCCTAAGTGACGGAAATATTCAGCGGCCGTGGCATTACAGCTTTATGATGTGTCACACTCGCACAAGCTCTGTTCTTAGAAAGCTGCCTTTTTAAATGAGCATGTTTGTGCAGGTTTGTGTGTGACAGCAGGAGACAAAGAGCGGAGTGGAGTGTGTGTGCGTGAGCGTTTCCAAGCCTGTCTGTGTGCATCAGCACAGCTGATTAGCAGGGGTGAGCTATCGTTCTGACCCCGTTCACAAAGCCAGTCTGGGACGTGGTGTGTTTTATTTGAGATGTCTGTAAGCATACACACATTTCAGGTGGCTTTATGACACCAAAATGTGTGGGTTTTTGGTTTTTTTTGCATCTATTCTTCCTACAGTGCTTTGGAAAGTACTACTACTCCTTTTTAGGAATCTGTAAAAGAGTCTTTCTTGTCACAAACGCCAACTTATATTGACAAAGACTGAGTGATGAAAAGCAATAAAAGTGGAAAACTTCCAACAAGGGGTGAATACTATTTATAGGTGCTGTAGTCACAACACCTTGTTGTAATAATGGTCCATGTCACGGCACACGTGGCAGAGTCTGGTTTGGTTTGCACGTGCGTCGGTCCTCTCGTGCTGCGTGTATGCATGAAGTCTGGGATTAGCGTGATTAGAAAACTCACCGAGACACTGCAAGCCTCACACATCTGCATGTAGTGCTTGAGATGCAAAAACACAACCAGAAGTAAAAACACACACACACACAACAGCATGAAGCGCTAAAAAGGAGGACGCCATCTTTAGTCCACCGGCAGCACAAGCAGAACTCTCACACGCACAACATACCCCCAAATTGCAGTACAAGCACACAGTGACACAAAGCGTGCACGCTCTTTCTCACACTTCAGTCCCGCTGCACAGCCTTTCAAGCCGCATTCCTTTTTGTGCAAAGCTGCCTGTGAGACTGAGCTCCTCTGCCATTCTCACACTCTGCAGCAGCAGCAGCAGCACAATGGCTTCTGTTTGGAGGAACCGGCTGTAGTAACATCAGCAGCAACACTGACAAGATGCATAAAGCCCCAGCCTGCTCTATCTGCCCTTCACGCCCCCCCCACCCATCCATCATGTTTTTGTTGACTGCTGCTTCCATCAAGGTTTAACCAGTCCGTGATCTGATTCATGCTCAGGCACCAAAAAGCAGTAGAGGTACCTAAGATCTAAAATGCTCTGAAGGAAATGTGCATCTCATTTTGGAGCCACATGGCCCCCCACAGCCCTTCTGCAGGACCGAGGACAGACGCTGGATTCTGACTGTCCTGAGAGCCTGCGACATGTTTTCTGCATGAGTGCTGCTGCACGGTTGGTCACCGACGTAACACTGAACCTCGATTCAGACCATCTAATGCTGCCCTCGGATCATTCAGCTGGAATCACAGACCTACTTCTGACTGCACAGTTCTCAACCAGCTCGATGAGTTTATGTCAAGTGGAATTTCCCTCAGTGCAGCGCACCATTTCTTAGCTCCATCCATCCATTAGTAACAACAATCTAACAACAGTTATCCAATAATCTACCATAAAGACACAACCAAATTCTAACAGCAGTGTCTTGTTATTCCAAACTATGGTAAAAAACCTGCTGCTGGTGCTTTTTTGAAGCCAGAAACAAGAATAACTAATAACCAGCTGCAACAAAACAAGAAAAACTGTGACCTGAACTAAAAAATTCAACACGAAACGACTAAACGAGACACAAAAGAAAACTGAGACGCAACGTGACAAAAGCAAGACACGAAAAACAAAACATGTACAAAACAACACAAACGAGACAAAAAACCACACAAACTGAGGAAAAAAAGGCAAAAACGAAAAACAGCAAAAACAAGACACAAAATGAACCAAATGAGACGCAAATGACACAAAATGACAAAAACAAGACACAAAATGACAAATGGAGCCAAAAAGAGACGTGAAAAACACACAAAAAAGTGAAACTGAGAAAAAACCCGACACAAACAGGACACAAGAGGACACAGAATGACACAAACAAGACATAAACGAGACACAAAACAGGAAAAACAAGGAACAAAACAACGCTTTGAATGAATGCCGTCACTTTGCTCCATTCTTAGCTCCTCCCAAGATGACGGCGGTTGGTTTACCGCAGGTTTTGCCCAACAGCAGAATAGCAGTGAGGTGCAGCCAGACCGGTCTGTGTCACAGCTGGAGAATGGTCTGACCAAACGTGACTAATAAATAAATGTAGTCTGACTCCCCACATGTACACTGTGGGTATTAGACTGTCCCCCCTCCACTATTTATGTGTGTTTAAAACTTCCTTCATTACAGGAAACAACACCCGAGCAGCGACCTGCTGAGGGAGGCGGCGCTGCACGAGTTTTTCACTAAATTCACCATTTTCACGACGGCACTCTCCCAAATGTGTGCAAACGTTCCACCAAAACAATATCACTCTAATACGAAGAAGCCAGAGTGATGATGAGGTGAACTACGCAAGACAAGCAAATGTGAACCTAACGCAGGATCCTAGTTAGCTTAGCTTAGCCCAAAGACTGCCTGTCTGTTGAAAGGTCCCACATCCAAATCTAAAAGTATCGTCCTCCATCTTATCGGGCGTCATGCAGCGCACCGTGTCTTGGTTGTGAGCAGCCTGGAGTTCCTGCTGTCTGCCTGAATGCTTCTTATGAAACCAGGCCAACTGGCACATTTCCTTTGTGCAGGGTGGTGAAGCCAGGAGCCGCCTCACGCTGATGTTGTCTCTCACTCACTGGCTCCTGATGAGCTACATTAGAAGCTTACAGCTGTTGGTTAGTGTTCACCAGACAAACACATGAGTGATGTCAGAATTCTCCTCTCTAGACCTCTACACGACAAAGTGAACAGTTGCACATCCCAGAAACAATTCCAAAGTCAAGGAACTGCATCAGGAAGCCGATCACAAACACCTCATCTCACTTGAGCTGAATGTTGTCGGTGATTTATTACGAGGTCTTCACTGTGTGAGGCCAACCACAGCGAGCGCACGTTTAATAACTCCATGATGAAAGCCTCCTTCACTACCTGACCGCAAACCTCTCATATTGACGGCCTAATTGTGACGGGAACTTATTACACAACAGCCCCGCTGCTCTAACTCAGCTGACTGGAGTAATCCTGAGAAGTCTTAGCAATCAGAGGAGCGTGCATGTGAGTGCACGTACATATGTGTGCATTACAGTAGCAGGGATGGATGAATGGATTAGGTTAAGGCACACAGTGTAAAGAAGATTATGTAATATGTTTAGAGCCAGCAGCTCTTTATAGTTATGAGTGAAACAGGAGACAATCGCATTGTCTGGGTCATAGATGTGACTTAGTGTGTGCACGTCTCTGCGTGCACGATGCCCACTGCTGCTCTTCTTCAGCCCTCAGTGCTTTGATGAAAGAGATTAATAAAACTCTCCGTCTTTGCCTCCTGGTCTTCAGTCTTTTCTCATATTCTCACAAACAGAGACGCTCTGCAGTCAGCGCTGCGTCAGGAGGTTATATAAGAGCTGAGCGAGCGAGGGGAGCAGAGAGGGAGCATGTTGGGGGTGAAGAGCACAGCGATCTTATACTGACCGTATATTCTACAGCGCAATCCCATAATCCTATTACTCTCTCAAATATATTCTCAAGCACTTAAAAATCTCACAGAGGCAGATTTTAGCGAGACACAGTTTGTTATTGTTCACTTAGATCTATGGGCTGCAGCCTGTTAACTGGAGTTCAAAAGTAAAAACGTTCAATTATGACACGCAAACACATGAAGCTTGTGCTCATGTCCGCTGTTGTTAACTTAAGCCAAGCTAACAGCAGCCACGAAACAGCACAACGCCTGTCAGCAACCCAAAATATCTCCACCGTGTGTCTTAAATAAGTCATGATCCTCTGTGAGGCCAAACCTCGGCTGTGGACCCTGATTGTGCTTCTCAGAGACGTCAGCCTTCGTCGACCAGCCACTAATGCTGGCCAGGCTGCATCCCTGCATCTCTCCTAATCTGAGACCTCTCTGCAACATCAGCTGCCTCTTCTTCCAAACTCAGCCTGAGCGTCAACCTTCCACATAATCCTCCCGCTGCCCCTCTGCTGACTATCTGTCTCCTCCTGGCTGTCTCTTCCTGCAGATCCCTCAGGGTTTCAGGCTGCAGTGTTATCAGTGGCCCTGCTGAACCTCTCCGCTCAGAGTAAACACAGCGAGGAGGCAGCTGGCTCACTGCTGCCACCGCATGTGAGGAGAGGCCCGTCAGATACCGCCTTGCTGAGGAAGAAGGAAGGAGAGGGAGTGTTGCCCCCTGCTGGCGCACAAGCGGTCCGAAACAGGAAGCACGCACACACAGCACATCTCTTTATGCACACACCCACAAACTCATGCCCACATGTGCAAACACATTCTAAGATGATTTGTAATTGCATCTTTTCCTCCCAGCGGTTCGAAGCTGAATCCTCCCACGAGCTCACAGGATTAGAGACCGATAAACGAAGAGCTTCTGTTGAGACGAACAAAACATGACCCTCGCTTGTCCCTACACCATGTTGTGTTTATCTGTGTGTGTGTGTGTGTGTGGAGAAATCGCTGCCATTTGCCTCTGGTGGTGTCTGTGTGTGTCTATTTATATCACAGTAGCGAGCTCTTCAAATCACAACGCCCACACAGGAAGGAATTACAGCCTGGCATCACTGATGACATAATCAAGCTGCTGAATGAAAGTGCGGCCCCTGTGGAAGAGGGGCTTTGAGAGGGACGGATTATACAACAAGATCGCTCGGTGGGCCAGAGCATGGCGCAGGGAGGCCGATGTATCCGACACACAGGCAGCAGCTGGTGGCACGATTCCTTCACGCTTTCTTCTTTAAAAGCCCGTGTTGTTTCCCCCCTTCTTAAACCAATCTGAAAAGTGTGACAAGCAAAGTCATGAGTGAAGTAAACATCGTGGTGTGAGGTCCATCTCGCTTTCGTCTCTCACGTCTGTCGAGGTTTTAATTTAAAGTTCCTCGCGTTGGCTGTCGACCCTAGCCAAGGTCCAAAATGCAAAACATGATGAGCTGTCACAGTTAAAGTTTAAGTTCTGTTGCTCAGGATGAGACTGAAACGATGCGTCGCGTCAGTCGGAGCGTGGTCAGAACGACGACGGTGGCGGGAAAACGGGACGAGCAAGGAGAAAGATTTGAGGAGTCTGGCTCAGCGTGGCACGTCTAGAATAGATCAAACCGTTCTGGACGACAACATCGTGTTTTAGGCGACACTTTGGTGAGAAGATCAACATTTTATGGAGTCATGATGCTAAAATTCAGACACAGCTGCTCAAAGCACGAGCTGCAGCTGAATTATTATCATTTGTAGTAACAGCATTTGTTGTTGGAGTCGCAGAAGTAGTAATTGTTGGTGCAGTAATTGTTATAGTCGTAGTACTAGAGGTATTTCTGGTAGTAGCAGTATTTGTAGTAGTAGTAGGAGTAGTATTTGTTTTAATTGTAGTAGTAGTAATAGTATTTGAGGTAGCAGTAGTAATTGTTGTTGTAGTAAGAGTAATAGTAGTATTTGTAAAAGCAGTAATTGTTGCAGTTGCAGCAGCAGTAGTAGTAGTATTTGTAGTAGTAGTAGTAGTAATTGTTGTTGTAAGAGTAACAGTAGAAGCTGTAGTAGTAATTGCTGTAGTTGTGAAGCGCTTTGAGTGCCGCTAAGGTAGAAAAGCGCTATGAAAGTGCAGAACATTTACCATAACAGTAGTGATAGTATTTGCAGTAGTAGTAATAACATTTGCAATAGTTGTAGTACTTGTAGTAGTAGTAG